TATCTATCTATCTATCTATCTATCTATCTATCCATCCATACATACATACATATATACATATACATATACATATATCAAGATCCTACTGAGGAGTTTATCATCTATTAAAACCCTTAAGACCTGCCCAAACTCTGCTTTTCATTGCTCTCCTGGCCAATCAGAAAGATCCCTTTCCTCTTCCTCTCCCTCTCCCATCCCCTCTCGTTTCTCCTATACTACACTACCCATTTCTCTGCATCCTTCGTTCTTCCCAAAGTTACATATGTCAGAGAAGCAGATTATCTTAACATGCAATATATAATTGCATACAGGAGTGAGTGAATGGGGGAATAAATTTTACACGCAATAAATAATATTTTATAGGCTTTTCTTTGGTTGACAGAGGAGGATCAGAATTGTTGAAGGTCTGGCCAAAGCAAAGCAAATCCTTGGAGGATTTGCAGTCACTTAATTTCATATGGAGGTAGAATAGGATAGAATAGTATCATACCAAAACATACAGTATACATTTAGAATAGAATAGAATAGAATAGAATAGAATAGAATAGAATAGAACAGAACAGAACAGAACAGAACAGAACAGAATAGAATAGAATAATAGAGTTGGAAGGGACTTTGGAGGTCTTCTAGTCCAGCTCCCTGCTCAAGCAGGAGACGCTATATACCAAGTGACTGTCTACTCTTCATAGAATAGAATAGAATAGAATAGAATAGAATAGAATAGAATAGAATAGAATAGAATAGAATAGAAGCTGAAAGGGATCTTGGAGGTCTTCTAGTCCAGCCCCCTGCTCAAGCAAGAGAACCTATACCATCTCAGACAAGTGAGTGTCTAGCCTCTTTTAAAAAAATCTCCACGTGCATTGATACTTGCTTCATCTCATTTAAGAATATTACAGTTTTTAAATAGGGTGCCATTAAGTTTTAATTATCTTACAACTGGATTTGCACCGCCTAAGCTGGGAGAAACGTACCTGAGAATGACAATTACTGTATACTGAATGTCAGGAATGAGCTCCAGATGTCATTTCAATACTATGCAGTCTTGGTCCACACATTGTATAAGCCAAGATGTAATCTAATTCTGGCTTGTTGAATAAACCACAATAGTTAGGATTCTAAAAGACGACAAGCTATAAATCGTGATTTTCAACGACTTGGTTGACAGAACATGTTAAGCAATACCTTTCAAAAGCAGTTGATGATATAATGGATAATTCACTCAGCTCTTTTCTGTTGAGTTTCTGTAGAATTTTTATCTCCCATGGACTGATATAAATAAGCATGAAAAATATCTTCATTTGTGTATTATGGCCATGCAAACAAGATATAATTTGAACCTGCAATTAGACTGAATTTTTTGGCTGGATTTGAATTTGCAATTCAGTTTCAAGAGACAAGTCAAATGTTAAATCCATTCCACTAGTCCTCAAAAATGTGCTCTGGTATGTGCCAAAACCACCTGATTGGGGCTGGTTTGATTCTATTTGAAGATTATGTTTCTAAACAGACAAAGCCACTAATTCACCTTTAAATCAAAGCTTTGAGTCTGAGTTCCACAGGGCAATATAACGTAGATAATACCAACTCACGGTGGTTTGTGAGCACAGCTGGAACTGTCTCATTCGCAGACTCATATTTCTGTGAATGTGGAAAAGCACCATTACAGATATAAGTGAATTTCTGCACATATAGCTGTTCCATTCTGCAATTGAAATAGAGTCATGGCTCTCTCTGCTGGTTTAATAGTTAAATAGCAGCTCTGTGTTCTGACAAAATATTATCTAAACTTTTAATCTATAAAAAGCGCAGTTCCAAACAGGGAGGTCCAATCCCATTTCTGTTTGATTTCTTCACTGATTTCATAACATTAATTTCATGGAGTTGGGAGGGATTCATAAAATTCAAGCAAAACAAATTACCCAAACTAGATAACATCATCAGTGCTAGTTAAGGAGTGGGGCTTGTCTGTCAGTGTTGGTGGGGGTAGTCTACACACACACACACACACATATATAAAATTATCAATTTATATATATGATTTTTTTACTTATTAAATTTATATGCCACATATCTCACTACCCAAAATGACTCTACATAGATAAAAGATAAATGTAAAAATACATTTAAAAAATTAGAGGAAGGAACAAGATGAAAGAAAAACTGCAGAGAGCAACTAAAGAAACAAAAGATAATTAAAGAAGCAACTTCTGATCCTCTTTGCAGCAGTTACAAGCACACTTAATGCTCCCTTCTCTTATTTTAAAATTACATTATGGGAATTCCTTCTACCCCATATTTATCCTTTTTCTCAGTCGACACATCCAGAAATCACCATGTGACTTTTTGAGCCAAAAATCCATAAAAGGTTGCCAGTCTTTTACAAAAAATACTTTTTGTGTTGACCGGATAGCTGAATTTTGCCATTTTATTTTTGCTAATTCTGCCATCTTTACAATCTATTTCTCTGTTGTGGGTATTTTTATGTTTCTCCATCATTGCGTATTTAATAAATCTTGCTACACACTCAGCCTCAATTCTGTATATAGAAGCTGACTGAATTAGCAACCAGTTTGTCATGAGCCGCCAAGTTGTTAGTTGAGATGGATGATGATGGGTAGATTGCCGTTGTTAGACCCATCGCGACCCCATGGACAATGTTCCTCCAGGCCTTCCTGTGCTCTACCCTCTTTTGGAGTCCATTGAAGCTCACGCCTACTGCGTCAGTGACTCCATCCAGCCACCGCATTCTCTGTCGTCCCGTTCTTTTATTGCCCTCAATCTTTCCCAGCATTAGGCTCTTCTCCAGTGAGTCCTTCCTTCTCATTTGGTGGCCAAAGTACCTGAATTTCAACTTCAGGATCTGGCCTTCTAAGGAGCAGTCAGGGTTGATCTCCTCTAGGACTGACCGGTTTGATTGCCTTGCAGTCCAAGGACTCGCAGGAGTCTTCTCCAGCACCATAGTTCAAAGGCCTCAATTCTTTTGCGCTCAGCCTTTCTTATGGTCCAACTTTCACAGCCATACATTGCAACTGGGAAAACCATGGCCTTGACTATACGCACTTTTGTTGGCAGGGTGATGTCTCTGCTTTTTAGTATGCTGTCTAGATTCGCCATAGCTTTCCTCCCCAGGAGCAAGCGTCTTTTAATTTCTTGGCTGCAGTCCCCATCTGTGGTGATCTTGGAGCCCAGGAAGATAAAATCTGTCACTACCTCCATTTCTTTCCCCGTCTATTTGCCAGGAATTGAGAGGGCCGGATGCCATGATTTTGATGGGTAGATTAAGAAGAACAAAATCTTCTACTAAAACTCTGTGATCCTCAGGAGCAATATAGACACAGAGGTTGCTAAAAATGGCTGCTTGTATGCTCAGAGGCGGCGTTATGGAAGCCACATCTGGCCTTTCTGAGGAAGTCCTGAAATGGTATGCACACTTTTTGTGTGCCAGGCAAATTACATCTCCCTGCTTTCACAAGTTGAGTATATAGAGAAAGACAAACTATCTTTCTGCCCCCTGCAGGACCAGTTCTTTCTCAGAAATGCTGTATCCTACCTAGGAAGTAGTTTTCAAAGCACCAGATGGCAGTATAACAATAGAAGAATTTAGGAGCCTGGGAAGGGATAGAAATGATGGCCAATAAGAAGACTATGAATCCTCAAAGAGAGCTAAAAAAATCGCTTCAGAGACTGAGTTGAGTTGCTGAAGTCAAAATGTCCTCCAGCTATAATTAAGAAGACTAGATAGTTGATTTAAAGCTTTATGATGATAATCATGAGAGGGGGTAGAAATGGGGACTAGAATAGAGAGCAGAACAAGAAAAGTTAGTTCATCTCCAGGGAGGAAAATGGAGGTAGATGTGTTGATGTATTACGTGTACTGGCATGGCAACCAGCAACCAGGATTTGGAATCTGCCACCAGTTTGCACGGGATGGATATCTCCAAAGCTATCAGAGAATCAAAAAATAGAGCGATTCATTAACTGGAGAATGCAGGAGGCAACACACATGGGAAAAGGCTGGATCCTTCAACAGTGGGAATTGGAATAGCCAGCTGGCTGAGGCTGAATTTTGAACATAGCTGGAAGGAAGAATCCACTAGACATAAAAGCAAGTCATTCTGCTTTCATGGACACTGTGATCAGCTCTTCATGGTTGACCGGTTGTGTAATATTTAATCGAAAGGATGAAGATAAGAAGCAAAAACATACACTGCAAAGAATCCAGGAAGGTTCCTTTACAATAAAGTGACTCTACAATACACTTTTTAGAGTGAGATGGGCAGTATATAAATAAATAAATTGTGGAAGAGACTATCAAACACAGAAGCTTGAAAGCCTATCCCAAATTTTTGCGGTTAAAGATATTAAGGTTTGAATCTCTTTTTCATAACTTTCCTAGAGTTATTTGGGCAAAATTGTCAATGTTGGTAGAAGTGTTCTTTATTAGGCAGGGGAAGCCATTATATATAAACAGAGGGCAAACCCTACTACCTTCTAACACTGATGAGGTTACCCAGTTGGGTAATGAAATGTCTGCAGGAAAACAGCCACACTCAGAGAGCACCAAGGATGCTGTAGTAGGTTCAATCCTGAGCTACAAATATTCTAAGCTTAGTTGTTAATAATCCGGGTGTGTTATTTGTGGAGTCAGTCCAATCACCCATGTCTGTATATTCCTCCCTCCCTCCTCCCTCCTTCCCTCCCTCCCTCCCTCCTCCCTCCCTCCTTCCCTCCCTCCCTCCCTCCCTCCCTCCCTCCCTCCCTTCCTTCCTTCCTTCCTTCCTTCCTTCCTTCCTTCCTTCCTTCCTTCCTTCCTTCCTTCCTTCCTTCTCCAGGTCAAAGCCAAAAACCTGGCAATCTAGCTTGTCAGTCCTTCTCCTTCATCTCTTCAAAGCCAGCGCAGTCACAGCTGTTGAGTCATCGGGAGGGTAGTTGGGAGTGACTCAGCTTTTCCTCCTCTGAGAGGTGAGAACAGTAATGATGCTTTTACCTTTTTTCAGGCAAGAAAAAGGAAGCATCAAAGGGGAAATCAAAAGCAAGCTGTGTTGCCGAAGAAGCTGATTAGTAGGCTGGTCCACGTCCTTTGGACCTTGAGAGATGTAACCAGGGAAATAAGCAACGCAAGTCCATGGCTTGGTTCATAAAGCAGGACTAATTCCCTCTATTCTTCCCCTTCATATACTCGCTCACCCTTGTGAGTGTCTGTCTCTCTTTCTCCCTGTCACTCAAGGCTCCCTTCTTGGACCTGGGAAAGGACCTCACCCTGTGATGCAATTCTCAACAAACAAGTTAGAAGGAGATCTTTTTATTCATCAATTAAAAATCCCTGGATGGATGATTGCACAGATTTCAGGAGCAAGGTTACCTGGGGCTTTGATTCAATTTTCCAGAAGTCACAATAAAATAAAAAATTCACGTGGAATTGTTTGTTTGGCTGCCCAAGATATGTGTATATGTCCTGAGTGTTTTCTTGATGCACCCTGTCGGCCCAAATATGGGAGGAAGAAATCTGGCTGATGAGAGCTAATTAGCTCAAAATACCTATCCCAGTCCCCCTTTAACTCTTTGTTAGCAATCCCCCCCCAAAATTAGCATACATACATACATACATATACTGTTCACAAAAATAAAGGGGATAAATTTTATACAGTATAAGTATGATATTAAAAGATATTATTTAGCTTTTGAATAATCTATGTTTAAAGTTTAAGATAATAAGTATTTTTTATTATACATATACCGGTATATTGGACTTTTTTATTATATATATATATATATATATATATATATATGATTTTTTTTTTAAATGTAACTTCTGTTTGAGATTTACTTAAGTTTAAATGTTTTGCATTCTTAGTTCTAGTTAACCCTGTATTCAGCTCTGGGAAGAGGGGGGGAGGGTTTTTTGGGTGGGTAGGGAGGTAGTGGGAGAGGGATTTTATTGTAAAATTGTAAAACTTTTAATAAAAATAAATAAATAAATAAAGGGAACACAAACGTATAGGAGCCTATATATTTGTGTTCCCTTTATTTTTTTGAGCAGTATATATATATCCCCTTGATGCACTTCTATTTTACTAAAAAGCTTTTGCCTTTTAATAAAGGTTTAAGTTGGAAAAGGTGATGCCAGACTTCTCCTGATTTTTTTTTTTTTTTTGCTCCCATAGACAAACACAGCTCTCCTCCTATAATATTGTGTGCGTGTTTGCTTAATGGCCAAGAATCCTTAACTGAAATTCAAATAGGAGGTAAAAGGACATGGATTAAAAAAAATGAGATGTTTCACAAAGAGTTGGAGAATAGAAAAGTTACATTTCTTATTATTATGATATTAACCGATGCTTTGTTTTGCTTTTTATTTTCAGGCCGGGCCAAAGAATCAACATTTGCAAATAAGCAAACCTCTGCATTTTTAACAGATGATGTTTGTGTAGGTTTCTGCCTATCCGTCAAACCAGATGGGAATTCTTCCACATTTCAAAAACAGGCATCCCAAATTTCAAACAGACCCGTCAATATGGGCATATCCTTATCTATGCAGACTGCACAGTGGTAAAGTCAGAGCCACAGTTTGATTCTAGGCGAAAAAGCAGTGGAGGCAGTGTTTCAATTAAATATGAGTACACAACTCTACGCAGATGCCAGGCTTTTGAAATTATTCTCAGAGGAGCTTGTCTCTTGCTTCAGCACTTGGCTCTGAAGCTAAAATGTGTCCCCATTTTATTGCTGGTGATCATTTATGTGTGTCTTTATTATTTTTATTCATAGCTGCTTCGGTAAAAATAACAGCAACAGCAGTTCCTTTTTAAAATGCCTCGTTAGCTAGTCCTTAATTTGGAATTCTTCCTACTTTCTAGAGGAGATTGAGACTGGTTGGGATTGGGACACTGAAGACAAAGGTGAATGGGAGGTCACACAGAGAAAATTCCTTTTGAGCGTTTCATTGCCAGGTTAGGTAACATCTTCAGCTGAATTTAGGGGATGGCAGTGTCGGTGTTCCTCTACTATAAGGGCTTCATGTGGTCATATGGTCGTGACGGGGAGGTCATGTCGGATGAGGGCCATGTCAAGTGAGGTTCTTGTGATAGGTCCTGTGATAGGTCATGCCAAGTGAGGTTCTTGTGATGGGTCTTGTGATGTGGAAGTCACATCAGGTGAGGGTCGTGTCAAAGTGAGGTTCTTGTGGTGGGTCTTATAATGGGGAGGTTACGTCAGGTGAGGGTTGTGTCAAGTGAGATTCTTGTGATGAGTCTTGTCATGGGTCACATCAAGTGAGGTTCTTACGGTGGGTCTTATAATGGGGAGGTTACGTCAGGTGAGGATCATGTCAAGTGAGGTTCTTGTGATGGGTCTTGTGATGGGGAGGTCATATCAGATAAGGGTCATTGAGAGGTGAAATGGTGATTGGGGGGGGTCACATCAAGATTTGACTTCCCCATCCCAAGACCTACTAACCCCACGAAGCCCTTACAAGCAGAAGAACATCGACACTACTATCCCCTGAATTCAGCTGAAGATGTTACCTAACCTGGCAATGAAACGCTCGGAAACCAACCCACAAGGTTGGAAAACAAACCTCCACTCTCCTCCTATACCTGAGCTACAGATGTTCACCACTATTGCAGAATTACTTTCATTTTGAGCACGGTGCTTTCTGGGATAGTGTATAATGTTAAGGAGAATGGCATCAATCATGGTGTAAAGCTGAAGGTTCTTCTTTAAGTGACTCCACCAATGGTTTTTGCAAAATCGCTTGTTGGGATGTGCTGGCTTCCTCAATCAAAAATCACTTCCTTCTCACCTCTTTCTGGGAATGGCCTGCTGAAGGAGTTATAATCACTAGTTATTTCCATCAAGCTTGGGAATGGATACTGCCCAGGGTCTGAATCATTATCTGGGTGAGAAACTGTTTCCTAGCAAAAGTCACGCTCAATTCTATTGAAAGTCTATTTATTCTAGCATTTGTCAGCTTGCCGACAAATGTCAGCTAAAAAGCATCCCATGCACCACCTTCTTCAGCATTGCACAAATCCAACTCTCTTCTTGAAGCAATACCAAAGCAAACCTTATGAAATTTGGATATGGGATGGATTAGTTCAAATGGAGATACCACCAAGCAACCAAAGACTAGCTTTTAAAACTAGCTCTTCTAAGATGTTTTTCAAAAAAAAAAAAAAAAAAAACAAGTTCAGGCATATTGAAAGATGTGTTAGTCCTGAGTTTGCAAAAATAACTTCATTTCAATTGTTTCCACCATACAAAGCATTTAAGGAAGAATGGAAAACTGGCTGGGGAGGTGAGGTGTGTGTCAGGGGATAAATATCCACATAACAAACCCCATTGTGCCTTAATAGTTCATGTTAGGACGCAAAGAAGTTATAGATTCTGCAGCTGCAGCTAGAAATATTAGAACCTTGTGGGTGGCAGCCAGGAGCAAGAGAGAAGTCTATTTCCAAACGGCCCAAGCCAACAACCACAAAAATGTGGGGTTAAAAAAGCCCATTATGTTGATATGAGCAATGCTAGGAAGATGGGGAGAGAACGTCATGCAGATCCCTGAACATTCTGTGCCATTGATGGATCATGAATGATTATAGAGATGGATAAACCCAATTTAATAAACACTTAAAAGAGCAGCCCAATAGCTGCTGAACATCTTGAGATCTTTGCTATCCATAAGGCAGGGATCTATTTGCTTTTATATAGTAACTGGCTAAAGAGGCCGTCCCACTCCAGTTGCTAAATGTTGGATAAGATGTAGGGAGATTACTCATACTCATGGATGGCTTTGGATTGAGTACTTTCTTTTAACCCAACCTACATCACAGAATGATGGCTGAGGGAAAATTGGAAGAGGGAGACCTACATATATTGCACTGAATTCGCGGAAACAGGGTGGAGCAGAAACTTAGCAATAAATAACATGGTTGAATCTAATTGTCTTCCATAACAGTCCTGATGGGGTGGGATCTGGTGCTGAAATGCAGGAAGGAGAGGCTGTTTCCCAAGGGGCTAAGAGGCAGATCAAACTTGGTTGGCAGAAAGAGGCTCAGAAGGACCCTCCCCAAATCTTCACAGGATTGATCTGATATTTTTGTGCACTTGAGTTTAGCAGGATTCCTGTCTATGGGCGAACAGCAATAAAGAAATACTGTGAGCAATTCTTAGCATTGCTCTTGGTTCCTTACACCTGACACCTATCTTCAGAGCCAGCAGGAAGCCAATCAAGGTATTGTGCCTCCCTTTTGTAAATGGATGAGAGGTAGACTTTATAATAACAATAATAATAAAGTTGGAAGGGACATTGGAGGTCATCTAGTCCAACTCCCTGCTCAGACAGGAAACACTATACCAGGGTAGGCAACTTTGGCTCTTTTATGACTTGTGGACTTCAACTCCCAGAATTCCTGAGCCAGCATTGCTCAGCTTGGAAACCTCTCCCTTTCTCCTCAGCATGGCTGGCTCAGGAATTCTGGGAGTTGAAGTCCACGAGTCATAAAAGAGCCAAGGTGGCCTACCCCTGCACTATACCATTCCAGAGGTGTCTGCGGGGAACAACAACGTGAAGAGAGTGACCCCTAATAGCAGGATTGAATTTTTTTTCCTAATTTTTTTATGTGCATCATGATATGCAATGCACATACTGTAAAAAGCAAGTGGAGTTTTCACGGGGCTGTTTGGCCATCACTTTGGTGTTTTATTTTTGTTCTGTTTTTTTACTCTTACCCTGTGGACACCCTGGCTTTATTCAATCCATTTATCTCATTGTTTCTATTCAAGGGAGTTTTATTTTTCCTTCTCTGCTTTTTTTCTTTAGTTAAAGCTGGCTTAGTTCTCAGAGGCAGAGGAAGAAAGGAAAGAAAGAGCTTCATGGGAGACTCTGAATACTTGAAGGAATTTTTACCCTTATCTACAAGACAAGCTCTTTGTCCAATCTGTCTGAAATTTGGCAGATCTGAACTCAGAAGGGGGAAAAGAACGCCTGCGAATTTCAATCCATTTTGGGCTGAAAGATAAAAGGCAGCAATAAGAGACTGGCTGGGTCATCCATTGTAATAATAAAGAATAAAAAAAAATATCATGGTTACGGATGAATGAAGAACAAAAGAAATGAAATTAAATGATTTCCACCACCCACTACCCACAACTCAGCCCTACACCCACAGTTATATATACGTACACACACACACACACACACACAAATATATATATATATATATATATATATATATATATATATATATATACACACACACACACACACACACACACATACATACATATATACATACATATGTAGGTCATTGGTTGTTCGGGTTTTCTCCCGCGTAAAATTGGAAGTGTCTTGGCGACGTTTTGACGAAGTCCCATTCGTCATCTTCAGGCTGGTGTTTTCAGCTTCGTGCTTCGAGCAGCAAGCTCGAAAAGCTGAAAACACCAGCCTGAAGATGACGAATGGGACTTCGTCGAAACGTCGCCAAGACACTTCCAATTTTACGCGGGAGAAAACCCGAACAACCAATGACCTACATACAAACACCTGCGAAAACCTCAGAAAACATACATACATATATATGTATATGTTTTTGCCAAGACCTGCATATATATATTTCCAGAAGACTGTGCAGAATGAGCAAGTAAAAAAAAATCATTGTACTCTGTGGTTTCTTTGAATTACAAATCTTACTGGTAAATCCAGTAAGATTGCACAGAATACAATGCCCACCGGGATTGTGTTCTCAGCTGCCAGATGCCCCGTTGATTGAACTGTTCTTGGCCAAACAGACAAAGCAGAATCTGAAAGGACAGATTAAAAAAAATAATAAAACAAAACAAAACTGGATGTATCTACCATAGGCATGAGAGACGGAGGGCAATGTGATCCAATTTATTGTTAAAATGGGTCCAAAGTATTCTGCCGGAATATTTTCCAGTGGATGGAAAATCCTGGGTTGGCTAACATCGGGAGCACGGTCTTCCAAAAAAGAGTTGGAAACAGCTGTTTGGAATCAGGCGCTTGGCTTTGAGCGATGAGAAAAGGGCATATTATTACGTGAAGATGCTGAGTCTAGACTACACGGCAGTTGGACCGGGATGTGAATGTATATGTGAACCTATAGCAGCGTTTACTTTGGGAAGATCACCAGTGCAGAAAGGATGCCAAATGGTGATACCTCCAAGCCATTTTTATAGGTATTAACTCAGTGGTGGTACCAGAGCCTTAATTACCAACAAAACTTTTTAAACTCTTTTGTGTTTAAACATTTCTGACATAGATTGATGTTCCCTGGGATGGATGCATCTATATATATTTCAGGAGAGACAGAGAGCTGGATATTATGGGGCTTCCAACATTTGAAATAAAACTATAGAAGATAGAACACAGAATAATAAGAATTGGAAGGGACCTTGGCGGTCTTTTAATCCAATCCCTTGCTCAAACAGTATACCATTTCAGATAAATGGTTGTCCAGACTCTTTTTGAAAGCTTCCAATGTTGAAGTACCCCCGACTTCTGAAGTAATTGTTCTCACTGTTAGGAAATTTCTCCTTAGTTCTAGGTTGCTTCTCTCCATGGATAGTTTCCACTCATTGTTTCTCGTCTTGCCTTTTGGTGATATGGATAATAGTTTAACCCCCTCGTCTTTGTAGGAGCCCCTCAAATATCAGAACACTGCTATCATGTCTCTCCTGGTCCTTCTTTTCACTAGACTAGACATGCCCAACATATCCATAACTTATAGTAAGTCGTTAGGAATCAGTAAAGGATGGAGTTAGGGATGGGAGAGGGAAGGAAAGCAGGAAGATGGAATCTGGAATGAGGAGAAAGCTGGAACATTTTTTATCTCTGGTACACCAGACTTTCAGGAGAAATGTTGAAAAGCATAGCCCAATCTCCTGCTTACTAATACTTAGCAACCCTCACAGATGACCACCAACCTCTGCTTAAGCCCATCTAATAAAAGCATGATAT